ATATATATATATGTTATGTGAGTGTGTGTACGTATGTGTATGCGCATAAATATGTATATATTTTTATATTTATTATTTTTTTGTTAAATAGGGTCAGATATTATAAGATTTTTTTCTTCTTCTGCTTCCTTTCATTTAATGAGATTTGTGTTTCTTTTTTGTTGTGCTGAACTTTTTTGTTTTTAATTGAAATGAATAAAACTATTTAAATAAACTAAACTAAACTAAAACATTCACTGAATGACAGAGGCTGAAACACAAAACGTCACCGTCAACAATCAAGTCTATCATCACTGATCAAGAGGCTCTCATTCAAAAATGAGACCAACATGTAAAAATGAAACTTTACCATCAATTTTATTATGAAAATTGCTTACCTAGTTCTACCTTTACAAAAACACACACACCCATTGACAAGAATCAGTTTAGACATGATATTCATTTCATACCTGGCAGTCGATGCACACGCCTCCTCCTCTGTACCTGCCGAAGGTGTCTAAACTTGCTCCTCTCTTTTCCACCTCTGGGTCGTAATAACAGTCGAAGGCATGGGAGAAACACTGGCAGGCTGTGGTGGAAACCCCCCGAGACACAGACACACACAGACTCAGATTCTTTTCTATTTACTCAACAAATTACCTCCAATTCCTCTACCTACATTTAAGAACCTTAAACCAAATGTTAATCAGAAAAACTTAAAATATAAAGTAAACAAGACAGAACATCATCCTCCTGTGGACCATCCCAGAGTCTCGTCAATGTTTATGAATGGTTAGTTTACTGAATGAGTGCTTTGACTGAATTATAGGCCTTCGTCATCTCTCTGTTTTTGCTTTTGTGGCTGCTTTCGAGTCATATTCCATCTGATCCAGACTCAGATAGCTGCAGGGAAGCATCGCTCGTAACCCTTTACTGTCTAGGATGGTGCAGGCCTGCCTGCCTGACCAGGCTGGTTGGTGAGAAGACGAAAAGCAGGTATCAGGAAGCCAGATCTTCACAGCGCTGCTCGTCACCTGCACCATATGTGGAAAGTCCTCTCGCCTCCACACCGAGGCTCAACACAACACCATATCAGGGCATCCACGCTGGGGATTTCATTTCCGAGGCGAGAGGACACTTCGGCCCTCTCCATGGGGCTGTAATTCAGGGAGGCAGCAGTGCGGGGAGTGTGTTTACACGCTGAATGAGATGTTTTACAGGAATACTTACGCTGACACTCGTTGGGGCTGTCAACAGTTGCAGCGCGCCACGGCTTCTGGTTAAAGCCCGGGCAGCAGCGGTCACAGGACTCACCACAGGTGTTGTGTTGGCACTCACACTGGAGTCTAAGAGATGAGATAACAGGATTTAGCAACTGGGTTGTTGTTAGCTTTTTAGGTAACGGGACAAGCTTCTTATCACTGATTCATTATCAAGTTAAGGCAAACCTTTTAGAGAACAGTTGTCTCTGGAATGCAGTGAAAACCGATTAAACTTTAAACAAGTAAACCTCAAAATTCTTAGGTTATAATTTATTGTGTGTTAATTCATTTTGTTTTGAGTCTTGTTTTATTGTTGTGTTTGTGGGTCACAGCTAGAATAAATGCTTTTATTGTCCTCAACGTGGTATCAAGTGTTTTCATTTCAACAAACAGAGGACTTCGGCTAAAAAAAAACAGGACAGCTGCGTCTTTGTAAACTTATTTAATCTGATAATAGTTTGAGTTGTAATTATTACACATCACAAAGTTACATCTAATGTACCTTCCCGGTTATATCATTGTAAACATTTGTTCTTGTAAATCATGTTGGTTTTTTTTTTGTTTGTTTGTTTTGTTTGTTTCCTTGCTTTGATTGTAGGATTTGTTACTTCTTTATTTTTTATCTCTGTTAGCAAAATATGTCTTGAACCACTGGACAACTTCAGCAGATGTCGCCAAGAAATGATTAATATTTGGAGCCAACCTAATTCAAGATGGCTGCCACAGCCAAATTACCTTTAAAACACAAAAATAGTTATAATGCATTCAATTCTACAGATATTGTTTTGAAATTTGGTGTGGCAGTAGCTAAGACCAATGCCCAACATATATCCTGAGCTCAAACAGATTGCACAAAATCTCTGTTTAAAACTTACTCATATGCTATTTAAAGTAAACTCTGTCTGTTAGCAAAATAACTCATAAAACACTGGATAAGGAGAAATRTACTTTTAAATCCTTCTTTTTCACATTGAAATCATTCAGTTTCGGTCTATATAAAGYGGAACTCCAATGCTTTGGTCYGMATTCCTCCTTATTGTAACTCCACAAGCCCCTCTTTCACCCTTTTTTATATTAACTCAGTTTGATGCTGTCTCTTTAAATTCAAACGAGGCACTTCACACCCTGTGTCCCCCTCCAGCTTCCAGAGCAGTCCATTCTAGCTTGAGAGCGGTGTTTACAACTAAATAAATGTGCAGAAATGTTTTCTTTACAAATTAATTAAAAGATGTCAACAACAGAAGACTTGTCCATCCAGCCTCACATGTTGGAGCCAGAGCCAGAGGAGGATAAAGATGACAAGTTTGTAGTTGGTAAGTTCAGACCTTATTTGGCAAGTTCTGTTGCAAATTCTGTTATGTAATAGTTCAGAAACGTCAAGGAAAATAGAGAAAACTGAATGGGTTGAAAAATATGACCCAAACAGAATATACAGATATCTGCGCAGCACCAGGAGAAATGTAATTTAATTTTTCTGCACWCGTAGAAACTCCAGGTACAAAAACAAAATGTATTTAAAGTCAGATCCGTTTATAATGAAGAAGTGTTTGTAATGGCAACCTGGCCCGACTGAACGTGAAGATTTCACTGACCTGTTTGGACTGTCCGGGTCCCGACCTGAACCACAAGCCTGGGCATGCCCGTGACAAACACAGCGTCCACCGATGCTGATATCTTTGATGCTATAGAAGTACTGTCGGCAAATGAAAAAGATTATTGTCAGCACCAGAACTATTTGAAAGTACCAACTATTTTATTAGAAACATCAACCACAGCAGGAGAAATGTTTGTCRCTGCTCGAATCATTCGTACACTGAAACCATAAGAGATGAGTTGAAGATTCGAACTGAATTAGAGCGTTGGGTGAGAAATTATACTACATCTTTCACAGAGATATATACAATAGTTTTGCAATTTGTATCACTTAAGAGATTTTCTTGGAAACATTATTTTTGACAGGTTTGCAGCAAATACCATTTCTCACACCTGCAGCCTGTTCCTGTCCAAGGAAGACTTGATACGGATCTGACATTAGGTGCGAGCAGAGCAGTCAGACTGTGTCAGCAGAAAGTAAGCTGGCAGGCAGGAGGTAGGAAACAGTAAGTTCAGTTCGCCCAAATGGAGGAATGACAGCGCRCCAGCCTGACACCTGAGTGTGAGTTTGGACCGTTTGTGTCTCACCCTGCGTGTGACGGTGGAGTCTCTCTGGGCCTTGGAGATCAGGTGGCCCAGCAGGGTGTTGGTGCGGAGGAAACGCAGGCGGATGTTTGTGGCCTTCGTGAAGTCTCGCAGCACGGGCGAGTAGGTGAAGTTTTTGGACCCTGGCCGACCGTTGATCAGAGAAACCACAATCTGAACAGTGCAAAAGTGTAAAATCAAGATTGCTGTTAGAACCTAGCAGTTTTGCAATGTTTGTCGTTTGACTAATTTCCACTTTACCTCTCCATTCTCCAGAGGAATGATCCGGGAGTAATCCGTGGTGCAGATCTGGTCGTCGTCTTTTAATATCCGGGCATTTGGAGGCTTTCTGAACCTTTCGATACACTCACGCTTTAAATCTGAAGAAAATGGGGGGAAATATTTGTTGGAACTTGTACTTCATATTCCATTCATGTGACATTTTCATTAAACAGGGACATATTGTGCTTTTAAATCCTTTCTTTTCACATTTGAATCCTTAGGTTGTGGTCTACTGTATACTGTTTAAAGTGAAGCTGCAATAGTTTGGTCTGAATTTCTCATGTTGCTCTACAGGCCCCTCTTTCACGCCTGTGAGTCTGACCCGGACTTTAAGARTATATGAAGACGACAAACCTGCAGAATCGAGGACTCTTAAAACTGATTAGCCAAAAATTTATGACCTTGTTTAGCAGTCCTGTAGCAAATACTGTGACGTAATACTTCAGAAAACGCAATGGGGAATAGGGAAAACTACAGCACCAGGAGAGACTAAATTAAACTTTTCTGCACTCCTAGAGTCTTTAAGTACACAACAAAACATACTGTCAAAAAGCCTTTAAAGTGCCTGTGACAGGATTTTTTAAAAATAAATATAAAGGCATTATCGGAAAGATAACATTATTAGCATATTGCAAAAATAATTTCCCGCTGCTGAGATGAACAGTTGTTGAGATATTTGCATGTGAAGCAACAGGAAGTGACGTCAAAGGGGAATGCCTGCATGGAACAAAGCATTGATAAAACAACTAACGACAGACTGTAGAGAAGAATCTGATATTTCTTTAGATTATTTTGAGTCACTATCAGAGATGGATGAAGACGAGTCAGAGTTCAAATAATATTGTTTCAATAACCAAAGATTACAGAGTTCTCTTCCTTAAAGAGTTCCCCTTTGATGTCACTTCCTGTTTCACTTTGGCTGAGCCAAGTTCAAAAGAAAATATGCCAGTTATGGGACAAAATGGGTAAAATCCCATGTTTTATGTAAGGTTTCTTATATAAAAGTATGTTTTCTTTGATTTTTTTGTATTTGATGGATAGACATGTCACAGGCACTTTAAGATATCATTGATATGTTTTGATTTCATCTCTAATATAACACTAAAAAGAGAGGTCGGTGTGGTCTTGCATTGCTTTGCCATCATTTTTGTTTTATTATGGGGGAAAATACTAATTCATACTGCTACTGACTAATTGGACAAGGAATAAAAGTTATGAAAGTAATGTTAGTTCTAATATTGTGCACATTTCAACATTCTTGAACCTTCATATTGTAAAACTCTAAATCATAAATCAAGAGGAACTTGGAGGATTTATATATGAAGGAAAACACTGGGGGTGTAAACCTAATGAGTCACATTATGTCTCATACCATAACTCATAGCTCTGAAATCCATAAAACATATTAATTTACTCAGGTAATTTGGAATTGCGGTGAAACTGCAAGCCTGGTATTTGGGTTTGCCTCCAGTTTCACCTCATTATGGGGAAAAGTGAGATTCCTCCACGGTCAGGTTTTGATTTTCCCAACTTGTTTTCCTAAAACCACAAACAGGCACTTACAACGGCTGTCTTCGTGTGACATTGCATCGACTCATTTTCACTGTGTGCAGTCCAAACCAAACCCTTAAAAGAACATTAACTAGGACAAGTTGATGCCTAATCTTAAACTTAACCTAACTTCAATCAGAACCTCACGTCCTTTTCCGTGAAAATTTAACTTCAATCCACTGTCTAAACAAGATAAAAGCAGAAAAGAACACACTATGACATTATTATATTAAGTCTTATTTTAATCTGGACCAAACCCAACCTTTACACAGTAACTTGTCTGCACTTTAAATCATGTGGATGGGCTTTTGATTAATAGGAATCAAAGTCCCAATAATGTAATGGTGTGAACTGAGTTAAGGCTCCTACAAAACAAACAAAAAAAACTGGACCACACGCAAATATATGGGGGCACACATTCTTCCTGTCTTAAACTGCCTTAAGCGGGTTAATCGGTGCACAGGGATTAAACATCCACCAGGAAATACATATATATCCATCTTCATTATAGGTTTCTTTAATGGCAGACAGTTTAACGTGTCACAGCAGGAAAGAAACAGGAGTTATTAATTTTCACTGTACTTCGTGTCTGTCTCTCTACTCAGGGGTTCTGATGATGAGATTTAAGCTGGATCTGGATGTTTTATTAGGTATCATCTCCACGATACATGATTTGATCATCATCATCGCAAAGTACATGTGCAATAGTCACATCGCTGCAATGCATCAGGTAAATTAAATCAACAAGCAAACATAAGTCATTGAACTACATGGTTGTATGATATGGCTTTTATTTTGACGGGCTGCTTTCAAAGGCGAAAGCGGCTGTGTGTAAAAAAAACTTTTGTTTTGTTGCAAAACTGTGACAATAACGGCAGCGTTTTTCGGAGAAATATTTATTAATTTTCAAGCTGTGGAGAAAGATGGTGATGGTATTAATGAGGAGGAAAAGAGATAAAATATAGTTTAGCATGAATGCTAATATGAAAACGTGATAGAAACAGAAACTAAGCTCGACACAGAGGCAACACATTAAGTTTGTTTATTGGTAAAGTGCAATTCACTTTTGCGCATAATAGAAGGGAAAAAAAGCACAAAAAAGCAAGCAATAAAAAAACAGGAATAACTCACAACAAACACGCACAGAAAATACGTAAGATCAGTGCAGGTTCATCGACAACAAGATGGCAGCAGAACTTAAGGTGTTATTCAAATCAATTGTTGAAAGTTCCTGTATTTTGTCATCTCACAATATACATCGCAGGGTTAGAAAAAAAATCACAGTCAGTTTTTTTTTTCCCAATATCGTGCAGCTTTAATATTAACCACATCCGTGCTCCTGATTCTGTAATCTAACAAAAACGTATCTAAGGAACAGAGCAGAGAGTAAATCTTYTTTTTTTTTCATCAAATAAAAAAGTGAATCATTATAAAACAGAATTAGTTGGACTCACGTGCAAAGTACTGCCAGGGAGAGAACGTTCTGCCATTGTCCACGGAACGCTCCAGCACCCACAGGTCAGGACGAGGTGAATTGGCAAACTTGATTAGGACGTACGCCACATGGAAGAGCTGAGAACCAGAACACAAAGAGCGGGCTAAACAAAAGGCACTCACTRCTCACAGCGGATTTTGGCAAAAGAACGCTGCAGTTTCCTGTGCTCTGCTGCTTCTATTGAGCAAAGKCTCAGCTTTTGGTCTCTGACAGGTTTCTTATTTCCTTTTCTTGTGAAACTCTGGGCACAACGTCAACATCAGCATTGTGTTGCTTTAAAGAAAATCCCAGCAGAATTAATGACTTGAAACTGAATTGGCTTTTCCTGCCTTGAGATGAGGGTTTGTGTTCCTGGAGCTTGACTGACTTGCAGCAAAAGGCACCAAAAAAAAAAAAAAGTTCAAACAACCTTTGCAGGTGCAGCCAGGTTAGTGAAAAGACTAAACTGATTTCTGTTTGTTCTCTGAACTCTTTATCTCCACCTACCATCGAAATATGGAGGCCATACAAGGGCAGAAAATGCAGCCAGTGATGGCTTCTGTCAGGCTCTTGATGCTCAGTGAAGTTCATTCCCCTTTGCATTGCATCAACATTATTCAACAAACCCTGAAAGCAGCTAATTTAAGCCTGACTGACCATTGTAGAACAGAAAGGTCATTTGTGAGAAAACGCTTTTTGTTTGATCTTCACTGATTTGACGTTGCTGGGAATTACACCAAACTGCATGAGACACCTGCAGTGTCCACATAAGGACCTCATTACACACCTGTTAAAGGACACAGCTAGGCCTGTCATGATTAGAAATTTTGCTGGAAGATAAATTGTCTCAGAAGTTATCACGATAAATGATAATACTGTTGGAAGACCATTTTAAACCAACATAAAGCCGGCACAATTTATTCTTTACGCGTCTTCCTCTGGCTTCATAAAATAACTACAGTCACCCGCACGCTGCTTTGGAAGTAGGTGCGTATGGTTATGGTGAGTGGGGATGGATATAAAATCCATATGAGCGGAGGCCTCCTAAGTGGGCCCATTGCTCTCCCCAAGTAGGGGCGTAACAACAAATCGGCACCGATTTTCTACAGTCTTTTTTCCACCAGTGGGCAAAAACGGTGCGATTTCTTCCCTTAAATGTTTCCAGATGCTACTGGGGGCTTTTATTTATTTATTTATTTATTTATTTATTTATTTATTTATTTATTTATTTATTTATTTATTTATTTATTTATTTATTTATTTATTTATTTATTTTCGCTTTTGTGAACTATGTCAGACAACTTCCACCGGTTCTTATCTTTAGACTGTTAAGGGGTTAATTTTGGGAGATCGGCTGATACTTGGATAAGATCAGTGGAAAAGATCGACTTCTCATTTGTGTTGTTTTAAGGGCATTGTTCAATGTTTTTCAATAAAATAAGATTGGAACATTGAAGGTGTATTCTGACCTTATAACATCTGATAGTGTCAGCTTTTTAATTTATTTATTTTTAATTTGTATTTTTTACCATCATTTAACCAGGCAAGTCCCGTTGAGATCTCAGATCTCTTTTTTAAGGGAAGTCTGGGCCTGAAGTCAACCTATTGTACATGTTCTTAGGGTTTTATATGTTTTTAAAACATCTCTATCGATCAAAACTCTAATCGGCAGGTCAAGACTTTTTAAAGATCGCAGTTTTCTGGCCAATCACCAATCAGTGCAGCCCTTTTACAAAGTTTAAGAACTTTACGTAGTGTAAAAAATGAACAACTCTCTGTGAACCCAAGGTTCAGCGTGACGCCCTGAGGGAGTCCTGAAGATGAATCGCCAGCTGAAAGCCAAAGATGCTCCTTTAGCTAGGTGCCTCTTCACGTAGCCCTCAGAGTTAACGAGGCCCTGCACCTGATGCAAGAGTTCACTCCTCCATGTGCTAAGGTGTAAAAMAGAGGGAAGCATGAAGAAGAAAATACACTCATATTAATGTATTGTGTGATTAATCGATTTGTTCTTTATTGCGAAAGGCCTGTACAGTTTCTCAAAATGTTGGAAAAGAATCTAAAGTAAGATGTAACAAGGCTCAAACTAAGAGTTACTATAAGAATACATGCTTAGCTGATGAAGCAAAACTGACTAAAATGTTGTAGCCTAGCTATCTTCAAAAAACCTTTCTGCAGGCTGTCTCTCCTGGGAATGATGAGGGCAGGCCCACACTCGTCATTCATCCATCAACACCTTGATAAAAAGCCAAGCAGGCGCTGAAAATATTCAGATTTCCGTCTCCCCTTTGCATGAAGCAAAAGAGTTGTTTTAGCACATCAAAGCAGGACAGAAGCATCGGCCCGTTGAATCGCTGACTCTTTTCTAAAATTATCCACAATTTCGAGCAGTCTTCTCCCTACTTATAGAATCAAAAGCCTCAAATTAGCCCTTTGGTTTGATGCATTGTGAGAGAGTTCAGGGGTCAACTGGAGATTTGTATGGCTTTGTTTTCAGCGAACTGTCAACAAACCCTAATAACTAACAACAAAATCTCCAGGTTGCAGACCAGGAATAGTCCCCAATTCGTCTTTAATCAACGTTGCTACAGAGGAAATCAGCCAGACTGCAGGAACGTCTCCTGCAAACCTAAACTTTGAACAGGGTGTGTCCTGAAATTAATCAGAGAGCATTTCCTCCCGCATCAAACAGGATGCACAAAAAAACAAATAGAAGAGGAGGGAAAAAAAAGATGAGCGCTGTCATTTTATTAATAGAAGCGTCTGCGTAGTATCAGTTCTGCTGAGGATGTTTCGTTCACACGCGCTGTGATGGCATGAGGGGAGGAGGGTGAAGAGGCTAAAGGACGTGCCGGCTGGCATGCAGTGAAGACCCGTTACAAATTCCAAACATAGCCCCACATCTCCCCCCTCCAACAACAACAAAAAAAAAGAAAAGCACTCTTTGCCAACGCTTTCAGGAACCCATCAGTAACACATTGCAGTGAAGACCTTTCCCAACGCTTGTTCTTGTGGAGGCGATAACATGAGCAGATCCTCCAAAGCCTCCATCACAAATTCTACAAGCAAGGGTTAGTGGGGTGAGACGATGGGTTGGAAAACRTTGACTTAATTATGCGTCGCTAATGATGTCATTCAGCCATCATTGTTCCTGCGCATCTTTTCAGCATAAATAATTCTCTAGAAAAAAACAGAGCTGTGTGTCGCTTCTTTTGTGCCAATAAAAAAAAACTTATTTCATCAGTGAAGTATTTAACAGTAACCCGTATGTTGAGATGGATCAACCGACAATGGCAGCACGATGGCTCAGTGGTTAGCACTGACGCCTCACAGCAAGAAAGTCCTGGGTTCGATTCCCAGTTCGGACTTGGGGTCTTTCTGTGCAGAGTTTACATGTTCTCCACATGCTTGCGTGGGTTTTCTCCGGGTACTCCGGTTTCCCCCAACCCACAAAACATGTACAATAGGTTGCCTTCAGGCCCAGGCCGCCCTTGAAAAAGAGATCTGAGATCTCAATGGGACTTGCCTGGTAAAATAACGGTAAATAAATAAACAATCATGTTCTCTGTAGCTTTGACAATATATATCAAGTCTTTATTTTGGTTGCTAAGTTTTATATTTGTTCCATGAAAACAAGATATATGAGGCTTTGCTGCATCTCTAACTGTATCCTGCCAACCTAAACACTGCTGCGCGTTGGTACTGTTTGGACAGAGCTTGATACATTGTCACGACACGCCGTGCATGAATGGATCTCCGTGGTGTAAAAAAGACATTAAGCACGTTGACAAGTGTGTGGCTGATAGACTTGGAATAACACTTGAGCTGCTCCTCTGGCCTTCATAGCATCTGCAGCAGCTTTAGATAAGACTGTCATTCGATGGGGTGGGGTCGGGGGGCTGGTTTTAACAAAGGTCAGGGCCTGAACTGTGACAGGTATGGACAACCCTCCTCGCCTTTCACCGCCCGTCTTAAATTCCTGACCTTGACTGCTCTGTGTTACAGATACGAGGCATAAGGTAACCAGATCTCCTCTTATTAACACRTCCGAATCCAAGAGAACTAACCACRTCCCACAAGACCAAACACCAGTTTAACAACACCGCATTAACATTTTTCTATGTCTTAACCGACTTCACACGTGGTGAAAAGGACTTGCTGCCTGAATTATCTAATCTAAACAGAAAAAAACTTGAAAAATAAAATCCTGTTAGTTTATCCCAACAGATGAACCGCTAACGTCACACGTGCTTGACCTTGTTCCCAAAGAGAAATGAAAAATGTTTAAAGAAAAAGCCCTGACTGTGTAACTTCTAGTCATATCAGCTAATCTCACAGACGTTTTCAACAACTAGGATTATGGTTTCTGTAGCAATGCATGTCTCTTGACTTGATTATYCATAAATTTGACAAACTGAAATGACAGTAAATACTGTGTGTTGACAAGTAGAACTGAGACATGCAGGCAATTCTGAACAACACACATGACTCCAAAATGTTGTGGTAAATGATAATGAAAAAAACATGCAGGGATTTGGTAAGAAATCATATGGAAAAACTGCATGAAAACAACATATTAAACATATTAGACAATTGTAAATTATTTATGATGCAAGGACACAAACTGCTTAAAAACTAAAGATAAACCTTTTCCTTTTTATTTTAGATTTTTTTTCTTAATAAAAGATGTTTAATAACTTGTGACCTCTTTCTTGTGTCTGATTCTGTGCAGAGGAATTTAACAATCAGATTTGTTGTTTATAATGAATCCTTTTGTTATATTTTAAATAAAGTAGGGAATCCCAACAGCTGATTTGTGTTCTTTCACGTCTAGCAAGACCTTGGGTGCAGTTGGTGTCAAACATTCTCAGGGTCTTTGATAAAATAAATCTAAAATAGTCACAACGATTTTAATAAAGGCACCAGCATTCCTATCAGTGAGATATTTCATTGTACTAAAAAACAACTCAGACAACATAAAATGCTCAGTTATATATTAAATATACATGATTTTCCCCAAAACAAGTCATTTGCATTCATGCAGAATTCATTTTGGTGTTTTCTTCCTGAAATATTTTAATATAATCTGTTTATGGTCGAT